AATTTCGTAATTTATAATGTGATTAAAGAGTACGGAATACGTAATGACATTTTTATTCGACGCTTATTTCAGAACGATTCGATGAATTGATTCATGCAATTGTATTGTCGCGTATGCCAAAACAGTGTCTTCTAACAGTTGATTCTTTGAATAACAGTTACAACAACCGTCCTTACGGCGTCACGTCTCGTACGATATGATGTGTTACAACGTTTCAAATGCTATTTGCGTCTCGACTTCAATTTCGTCTTCTCGGGTAGTACGTGTTACATGCCAGTTACAATGCGCAGAAATACATATGTATATCGGTATGAAAGATCGATCCGCTAAATGGACGAAGAAGAACGAAAGAAAGAGAAGCTAAATGTAAGTAAAAGAGAGATACGAAAATACTTGAAAGCCACTTTCATATAAATCATTTAATATCGACAGAAAAGTAGCACAAGGTTCACTTTCGAGAGTCTTGATCTCTGATGATCAATTAATTGGAATTTTGCGGCTTGAGATCGTTGCGATTAATTCTATATTTGATGACTTTTTGGATTTCCAATATGTTTAAACACCGATAGAAATCTTTTTCGAGACGGGTCGAATTATGATTTAATCAAGCATCAACGGCAACCGATAAGAAATATCAATTCAGATGGCTACTCGTGTCGATCGCATTAATTATTGCAACATCGTTCCTATACGCAGTAGTGGTCTGTTGGTCTGTATTTTCCGCTAAAATGGTTTCCCTTCGAAATAACGATTCTGTAGTGTAGTCGACCGATATGGTGCATTACATTCACCGTGATACTAGAGGAGCGGTCAAAGAGAAAGAAAGATAAATATGATACGGGACCGAACCAAGTGAACATTCGATGCACTACGAACAAGTGAAATTACTAAAACGTCGAGCATTTTGTCGTTGTTCATAACGAATGTCGTTAAGAGTGCACGCTGAAATCTCAAGTATGCGACGATCGTATATTGCTTTAAGTCGAATAGCCGGTAATGAATCGGTAAATCGCACGACACCGGTAAGAGAAAGTCTACGTCTAATAATCTAAGCATAAAATTCTAACAGCTGACAAATATCTAGATGTCCGAGGACAAAGTATCTGGAAGATATTTCTACACATTTGAAATAAGTCGAGGACATTTTCTATCGTTGAATTCTATTCAAGTATATGAAAGTGAAGACGCGAGCACAACGAATACGGGGCACGATACAGATGTTTAACGAACCATTTCGGAAACCTAAACTGTGTCGATCGTAAACTTGACAGGTTCGAGTTACATGCTGCCACTTGCGTACGTTCTGTCGGGCTCCTCGGATTTTTTATATTTCTAAAGAAAATTATCTTTCCAAAGAGTCGAACGACATACCGTCGAGTATGTGTTGGAAGATTGTCCGAAATACCTTGGTCTTGGCAGAACGAGTGAAAAATATTTTGCGAAAAGAAGAGAAGAGGAAGCGAGGTTGAACAGACATTTAATATCGAATTGCGAAATTCTATAGTCTCTCGACGAGACAGACAACGACGAGTTTGTTTTGTATCGCGTAACCGAGGCTATGCATCTAGCATCCAGCATCTAGCATCGGGCATTCAGCGACAACTCTGTTTTTCAAATCTTTATTTCGTTACTTACTACATATTTCGAATGACAGTGTTACAAACAAGTATGGCATTGAACGAATTATCGGCAATTTGCGACAGTATGCGACTGACCTAATCGTTCGGAAATTTCAGGAAATTATATTTCAACGTGCACCGAAAATGTTTCCAGCCTGACAAATCCACTTGACGCCTTTTTCATTTTGCACGAGTATTCGTCTCGTCTTGTTTCATTTTCGCGTGCGCGTGCATGTGTGTGGAGATGCGTGTGTTTGTCGTACACTACCGTTACGTTTCTTGCAATTCTCCCGACACCGCACAGATATTTATTTTACCTCGTAGCTAGCAAAATAGACGCGTGTATCGTTCATTTAACTCGTTTATCGACGATCACGAGATTCGACGAGACCCCACGGAGAAGGAAATAGCAATTTCCGAATCTCCAATGGAGCGGAGACGACTTGTCCCGTGGATTTCAACGGTTATTATTATATTATCGTTACACAATCGCTTGTAAGTTATCTTATCTCGTTAATAACACCTACGTGTTACCTGGCTATCGCATTTTGTTTACGCGGTTAGTCATTATCGAGTAGCCATCGCGCCGAGACACACAAAGAACAGTGTTAATCACAATGAGAGCCGATATAACTGATTAAATCGATTGAAATCAACGGATCGACGTAAAGTACACACGTAAGCAAGGAATGGAGCTGCGAAGAACCAATGACCCGACGAGAACCAATCGAAACATCCGAATCTCTATTGTCCTGAATTCTTCGAATAAACGATGCTCGTCGCGTCTGTACATCTACCTACAATAGATATGTAGAATTTCACATGTTGGTGGGTGGGACCATGCCACGCATATGTCTAAGCAACATACCGTATTCTTTTCTTTCTAATCGATTATCAGTAACATAGGCGGTACGTGCTCATTTCGATTGTATACGCTCTACAGAAATGTATCGAATATTCGAATACGCAATTGAATTTGTATACAGTGATGGCAATATACGCCATCGACCCTGACATTGCTTTCCTCTGCTTCCGTCGTACCTGTTTAGACAAATTCTCCGCGACGCGACCCAACGTGAAATTGCCGTTTCAATAACGTTTCATTAAGGTCGCTAAAATTTCTCTAACCATAAAACTGAATGGTAAAACTTGTAATTTACAGAGTTCAACGACTACGGTGTTTAAACGTTTCCGTTGATTCGTGGGTTTCTTCGTCGAATGGGAAAATAAATGATTGTTCGTTAGGAATGGACAGCCGAAGCTAACTCAGCATCTCCGTATCCTAAACGATTATGCCCGATCTGTTTGAATTTTCTGATAAACATGACCTACTTTTCTCCTGAATAGTAACTTTATCCGAGGCTATCGTCGTTGAACTGCTATCACCGTCTACCACCGTCGGACGAGAGATCCATCTTCGTTTCGAGGGTACTGTGTTCTTTCTTGAATTACGAGCGTTTATTATTTATGCTTCGGCAATCTAAACTGACGCATATTTCGAGAATAGAATGACCAAGCTGGAAGAGAACTCTATTAGTGTTTGTACCGTGCGCGACAAGTTGTTCAGGTTCGATTAAGAAAGGCCACTTTGCTTGTTCGTGGCTCGTGGCTCGTGGCTCGTGGCTCGTGGCTCGTGGCGTAAGAGGAACGGGGGGAACATTGAAATCCACATGAAAAATCAATTTCAATACTATTTTCGTGCTATCGTTGACTCGTGTAGTTCAAGGACCCACCGCACGATGGCCTTCGAATGACCTCGAGGATCAGGTTAAATAAAAAATTGGTTCGTACCGTGCACGGCTGACGCTCGTTGGAGCATGATTGGCTGAATGCCGGGAAACGCCAGGACTGTGGTAGCGGAGAACGTGATCACGGAATTTCGGAAAATACATGTAAAATGCACCACAGTGGTTAATCGCGTCGTCAATCGAAAACGTTTAATACGGCCAGAATTGAAAAGACTAAAAATACCGTATACAAGAACAGACAAATGAATCCTACTTTCTTGTTCAAATGAAACCTAAAGACAGCAATGACCGCGTAAAGTATGATTATACAGCCGATTATGGATAGTATGCTGTACGACAGGGCTCCCGATAAAACCTTCACGTCACTCCCTGTCATTAGACACTTTATTGTCCACGGCAGACCCAGACACAGTAAAATGTCTAGAATATTTGCTCCCAGGGTGTTGCTCATCGCCATGTTTCCGTCACCTACATAGATGTACGGTGTTTGTTCGATAATCGGAATGATTTGCATCGTTCGAAAAAGTTGACGGGTAGATCGAGAAGGAAAGTTCAGGTAAAGAGGGAAGACGGACGCACGTACCTTGTCTTGCTAAAATCACGATAGATGACATTTCAGGCATGTTTCCACCAGCGGCTAAGAACGTAAGGCCCATAATGGAGTCTGGGATGCCTATGGTGTCGCCGATAACAGTCACCATCCAGGAAACCAAATAGGAGGATACCGCTAGCCACGCGACGCACATAATGAACGTCAGTGGATACCAATTTCTCAATTGCTCGCATCTCGTGTCCGGTATTGTTACGAACAACAGAAACTTCAATGGCCAAACCAGGAGAAACCAAAATTTTGCCGATGCGCTCCGTTCCTTTGGCCACGCGAACAAATTTTCTGCGAACGAGAGGAAAGAATATTTGTCGGTGTACTACCGTAGCTCGTGAAACCGTGGTAAAACAGAATAAAAGAGATTCAATAAACACCTGGTTGCTCCTGATGGTCTTCCGATTTCTTGGAATTGGCCAAACTCTCCGGATCCTTGGTCTCCTCTCGTCGTTGTACCGACTCGGTGGCATTCGAATTTGAAACGGAATGTTCACCAAGATACGGCTGGTACGAACCTTCTGCCAATGAATTGTCGATATTCGATGCTACAACAGTTGAAATTTTCCTTCGTTTTCCTTCATTTTCGCGGTTCGTTTTCCAATTTGGAATTAAAAGCAGCCGAATTACTTACACGTCGCTGTGGAACTTGAAACTCCATCGGAGCAGGAACGCACCACTCGTTTCGCACAGAACAGTACGATTAGGTAAATAAGGAGCTCCGCTAATAGAATTACTGCTTCGTACCATACGATCCGACCATCCCATATTATTATCACCAACGTTCCAACCGATATTATAAAGACAACGCAATCTCGCGTTAATACACGCCACTCTAACGGTACGGCCTGTCGAAAGGGATAGAAAGAATGGAATTTGTAAAACGCAACACACCCACTTACACACGTGTACCGCGTATTTCATTTTGTTTCGTCGCGCGTCGGGCAGGCAATATAACACTGGTCCGAAGAATTGAACTTTTTCTTTCTGTTACAGAAGGTTTAGCGAGACCGATCTTGATAGTATTTCTTATGCTGAATCAAAATATGCAATCCGTTTGTCTCCATCGAGATAAATTGAAAAATACCTGCATGAATCGATGTGTTTCACGCACGTTTAAACGTTTACAATGCCATTAAAATGTACACCATTGTATTCGGAAAGGTCCATAGAATCGTGCTGTGCGAGAAAAGTTTGACTAGTTTCCACAATTATGATACAACGAGTGTTCACAGTTGAAAAATTGAGTTTTGTCGAAATTTGATTTTGAATTGAGAATTCAAGAAATACTATCGAGATCAGCCATTGAACCTCCCGTAACAGAAATCGTGTCGACCCGCGCAATTGAAGAAGCATAAAGGTTGTTTGTTATCAGTTTTGTCCGAATACTGCGCACACCGTGTACCGCGATTCAACGATGCAACAGGAAAGAGGAAAGAGGAATTAAGGAAAGAGAAGAAAATCTTTGCCTGTACAATACGTACCTATCTATATCGAAATGATCGGCAAACAAACTAGGATACACTTTTCTTCGGGTGTTCAATTAGCTGTACGAACGGTTGGACTACACTGTTGCGAAGGGAACTGTTCCGATTCTACAGTTATTAATTTGTCATTTGGTGAATTCTCGATAAGATGTACACTGGCATAGGCACGTGTCCACGGTATACGACGTAACGAGCGTTTACTTACGTGAAGAGCCGCCAATGCTCCGACAGCCGGAGTTGCAAACGTATCGAATACGGCGCTACCGACAACAGTACCGACTCCGATGTCCGATTCGGTGAGGAAAGTTCCGATCACGTTTACGAACAATTCGGGCAAAGAACTGGCCATCGCAAGGAAAGTCGCGCCAGCAACATCGGTACTGATGTTTGCGCTAACGCAAATCCGATCGAGTGCCGGTAACAGATAATTGTGGCAGACGAATGCCGTCAACAGAAAACAATAGAATCCGAGGAAGACATGCAATAGTAGAGCACCGTGTCGACGTTGTTCGTCGGTGAATAAATCTCTGGGAAAATCTTCTTGATCGCCATCTCGAGTGGTGTGGTCCTCGAGTACCGTGCTGTAACGTCTGCCGGCATCTCGGAACCATCGCTGATCTTTTCCCGTGGGTGATTGTGCTCCTGGATCAATTTCGTACGAGTGGACAGCATTCGACGAGTTGCTCGCAAATGACTCTACAATTAAAATTCTTTCTCTCTCTCTCTCTCTCTCTCTCTCTTTCTCTTTCTCTTTCTCTTTGTCTCTTTTTCTTTCTTTCTTTCTCTCTGTCCCTTTTTCTTTCTCTTTCTTTTTTCTTTCTCATTTTCGTTTCCTTTTTCCTTTTCCTAAAGAACAGATCGCTACAAGTTCGAAAGAAGTGTAAAATAACGCGCTCGACTTTGTGAAACCGGTAACATTGTTTGCATCGAAATTTCTCTGTACGACAGCGGAAGACAGCGGAAACTACAGATCGATCGATCGAAAGAATCATAGACATTGCGAACAAGAGTCCAGGGACAGGGTAAACGAGAAATACAGATCAACAGGAACGAATGAGATACAATCGTGTGTAGATTTGAATGGACAATATTCGGCACTCACCACCGTTCCCGAGAAGCCCAGAAATAATCGGGAAGCACATTGCTAGCAACACGATCCACGCGTAACATCTGGAAAGACGACTGCTACTCATTTCGCGACGATATTGCTAAGATTCTGACCGTTCAAACACCGACCTTCGATGCGACTTCTTTACTGAAATACGTTAAACTACTTGTTGAGTAGCAGTTTGCGCATTTATGGTACATTCGACTGATTACACTCCCTTCCTAACGACCAACCACGCGTCGTTATTATCTGCTTGCCCATCGCCGACGATGTTGTCTACGTTGATAACAATAACGAAATCCGATTTTAGAAATGTTTTACGCGACTCTACCACACGCGCAGGCACGCACGCACGCACACGCGCATGCACACACACTTGAAAAGGGTTTGACGTCTCGGACATATCGCTGCAATTTGCCTGCTTGTCGTACAATATCTTTTTCACTGCGCTCCTCGAAGGCTGCCTTCCGAGTCGCACAAAGAATTGTTCTCGCGTAAAAAATGACACGTTATTATTACTATACTATCACTGTATCATCCATTTATTCTCTATTCGTCCACTTGTTTATCGGTACATTCGAGAAAAATCACGATACCATTTGCGCTTTACTCTAATAAATCGTATTTGTACTCGATAAAAGTATTTCTTAATGTAATTTACAACATTCTTTCCTTTGTGTGTACCGAGTACGGGAAAGCTGGGAGACTGGAGTTCCGTGAAAACAAAAGCAAGTGTATACACTTCGGAGCAGTAATGTAACGTAAAATGTATAATTCTTGTTGAAAATGTGCACCACTATTTACATGAAATACAGATGCGATCACAGACGCCGGTATACTCGGAGTAAACAGTGCCCTTTGCTCACAACTGAGAAGTACATGTAATATGACATGAGATAATATAGTATAATGCAATGTAATGTAATGTGATGTGATACGAATGTAATATAATATAATTTAATATAATATAATATGATATAATATCATGTATTATAATGTATTACGATACAATATAAATTAATATAATACAATACAACATAATGTAATATAATATAATATAATATAACGACTTCACGTTTTGTACGAAATCGTAAAGCCTTCGACACGTCAGATTTCGCGAGCTTCGACACATTACGATACCTAATTGCACACGAACGCACTCGCGCACACGTTCGTCTCTCTTATTTCGTTACATTCTTTTTGGAAGATTTATCCCTACCATACATAGCGTCTAGAAATAGTCCTGCAAATACTGTGAATGTACCTAACCATTGCCTGGTGGTCAAAGTATTTCCAAAAATAAGTACTGATCCTAGAACTGTGAAAAACTTTCTAGTGGTAGTTATAATAGAACACGGTAGCGGACCGAATTCCGCGACGGTTAGAAATATAAAGTACTGCCCAAACGCGCCTGCTATCGAAAATGTGGCCATATGCCATATAACGAAAGGATATTTGCGTAAAAACTGGACAAATTCCAGAAATTCTCCCGAGATTAGGATAACGGTTCCACTGAATATTATCGACCATCCATTCATGTTTAACATCATGTGTCCAGACTTGGTTTTATTCTCTGCCCTCATGCGTTCCTGTACGGCGCTGGTTATACCATCCATGGTTAAAGAGAGTAACAGTAACAGTTCTCCGAATGTAGTTTGTCCTTCGACTTCCTTCTTCAATGGACTGACGTCTTTGTACATAAAGAAAGCAACACCAATGACAACTAAGAAGACAAATAAATACTTCCTAACTGGATAAACCTGCAAGGTAATGCACCAAACTGTTACCAATAAACGACTACCCATGATCCGCATACCTAATTATACGCCTATTTAAATCAACATCTTGGCTCCATCTTTTCACTCTTGTTAAAATCCAATAGAATATCGATAAAAGAAGGGATTAAAGGTTTATAATTATGTTTGGAAGCTTTACACGTGAACGACATCGACGAAACAACCGACGAGATGAACAACAAAAAGAAAACAGAACAAAAGCGATACCTTGTTCCCAAGCAGTACTCCGAGTATCATCACAGGAATCGGTTTACCAGCTTTTCCAATTACTTGTGTCGGATAACTGACAAACTGTAAAGCCATGTTACTGCACACCATTGCGAGTAAATAAGTGAGGGAGGATATCGCGTGATATGTTTTTGGAGTAGTATCTTCGCCTTGCTTCATCACTGTTAATAAACTAGTCTTAACGAATAGGTAATTGACTAAGCATTGAAAGAAAACTAGAGTAAACATATAGGTGAATCTTTCACTGTTCTTTTCATCTCCGTATTGGCCCCGAGTGATTTTTTCTTGTAACATAGCAAAATAGAAGTAACATACAAAAATACCAAGAGTACAGAACCCTAGTTTGGAATGTTTCAAGGAAACCATTGTTATTGTATGTACTAAACGCACACTGTAGCAAACCGATTGTAAATTTTTACTAATTTTCTATCGCGTATCACAGAGAAAACGGAAACATTAGAAACATTCTACCTAACAAATTTTACACGAGTAGATACGTATAAATGGTACGTGGCATACTAGGATGAGTTCCACGCGAATCACATTCGCCCAAGTCATATCGTACGGTCACAGATTTTTGTAGTTTGTGGTACGGTTCGTACGAGTTCTATCTGTGGCGTAAGATGGCACCACCATCCACTTCCGTCAATTGGTTTAGTTTCGTTTCGTTTCGTTTTCTTTACTGCCGGATTGGTTATCGCCTGCCGTAGTTCTAGGACAGAGCGATGCAATTTGCCGTGTCTAATAACGTAATGTGACGTGAACTGAAGTGTGTTCGACACGACTGTTAGTCTCCGAGCTTTCTCCGTTTCACTCTCGTTAACGGTGATCGGTTCCTGATGTTCACAATCGAACATTAGGTCTTTACATTACAATACGATCCGCCCGTTTCTCTGTACAAACATTTCCAAACCAGAAAATGGGAAATCTATTCCGGTTCGTTCTGAACACGCGATCAACGAGTTTACTGATATGCGCAGGCATTCTCGTTACGTTCTGCTGTGTACCGAGCTGCTCCGAGAACGATCCGTTAAGCAAACAACAATGTCATTGCGGTCAAGAAGCGAGCCGACAAAACCGACAAACGAGACAATCGAAAGAAACGCAAGGTTATTGCAAAGCGACGAACGATGCTTCTCATTTATACCGAAATCAACATTTCGATCGTCCGAGAAACATGGCAAAAATAGATGCAGTTACTTTTTCGGTTGGAACAGATGATCCAGTGTTTGTCGCTGATGGCGAAGGGCCGAAACGACAAGTATATCTTAATAGTTTTTACATTGATGAATTAGAAGTAAGTAACCGCGAGTTTGCAGCGTTCGTAGACGCGACAGGATACCGAACGGAGGCAGAATTGTTCGGTGATTCGTTCGTGTTTGGTGGTCTGTTGAAGAACCACGCAGAAGCAAAAGCGCCGGTAGTCGTCGCTCGAGCTCCTTGGTGGTTGCAAATTAGGAATGCGAGTTGGATGCATCCGGAAGGTCTTGGTTCCAGCTTATCGGGTACATAGTCCTTGTAATTTTTCTCTTTTCTCTCTTTTTCCCAACGTTCCAGAGTTTTTCGTGAAGGTAGCACCAAATTAAATCGAATGATCCAGACAGGATGGATCATCCTGTCGTTCATGTGTCGTGGAACGATGCTGTTGCGTACTGCAAATGGTTAGGGAAACGATTACCGACCGAAGCGGAATGGGAAGTGGCATGCCGAGGTGGCCTCTCTGATAGGTTATATCCATGGGGCAATAACTTTCTTCCGAATGGTCGACACAGGTAACATCAATGGAATAGCGATAAACGACCAACGATAGAAAAACATTGACACTTTAAGATGAATAATTTACCATCCGATGCAAATTGGAATAAAAATCGTGAGAAAACTCGCAGTATCGTAATACGAGAGAAGTGACTTTTAGAGCGAACACGTGGCAGGGTGATTTTCCGAACAATAATACGAGCGAGGATGGCTACGAGAGTACCTCGCCTGTCACAGAATTCCCGCGAAATAAGTACGGGTTACGTAACATGGTGGGAAATGTTTGGGAATGGACATTCGATTGGTGGACGATCGATGTCGCGAATCGTGGTGGATTCAGAAATCCTGTACGTTTCGGCCTATATTTCCATTGCTTTTCTACACCGAGATTTCTCAATGAACTATGCTTCCAGAGTGGACCAACGGAAGGCACGGACAAAGTAAAGAAAGGTGGATCCTACCTTTGCCATAAAAGCTATTGTTTTAGATACAGGTGTGCTGCTAGAAGTCAAAATACACCTGACACATCGGCTGGAAATCTAGGTTTCAGATGCGCCCTGTCCGCCTGATTTCCTAAGAAAAGTACCCTTAAAAGTATCCGATTTTTTCAATAAATTTCACTTTTCTATATCTTACATTGTACTTTTTGTTTCTTTGATCGCATTATCCAATTTATGAAAATTAATCGGTATCGATACACACATCGAACGATCCTCGCGTGAGTATTTACATGCTTACTTACCTACTTTACTTGGTGTGCGACACTGATGCGTACGCACAAGTGAACGTTCGTTGGATAGTTTACACGCTTCCCTCGGCAATATTCGGTCATCATCGGTGTATCTCGATACCACTCATTTAAGCTGTCGGGCGTCGGCTTGTAATCAACTACGGTGAGATTAGTGATTCGTGTGCACGAATGAAATTTTATGTTCGCATTCGCAAAGAAATTAATCGAATTCTCTCATGATCTTGCGCACATCCGTGGCGTAAATTCTCTGTATTTTCACAAACGGTGTATCATCGAAATACCTTTACGAAAGAATGTTTTGGTCACAGTACCTGCGACTTAACCTTTTTCGGTACAGTGCGAAAATAATTTGCCTTCAATATCCGTTTCTCTGCGTTTACAGGCTACTACCGAGATTCTATTGACGAGTCGATAGAATGAATTACGGGAAGAAGTCTCCTAGCATGGGTACGCCATCGGTGTATTCACATGTCACTACGCGTAGTAGTGCAAACTTAAGATCTTCGCGATCGGCGCGTAGCGTTAAAACACCCTGGTACCAGAAACCAATTTTGACGCACGCTTACATACTCGACATTCAAAGAGGCGCTATGTTTACCGCAATATTTTCATTGGTATGTATCATGATTTGTTTAGTGATTGTTTATTATATTCGAGTAAGCGTATAGTTATCGATAGATGTATATATATATATATACACATATATTTCTTTAGGGTTTAGCTATTTTCACCATTTGTACATCGATATTCGATCTTTATTGCCTTTCTCAAGCTGCACCAGGTTCGACGCATTACGGCTATTACATAATATCGTATGAATTTGTATACGTGGGTAACCAACACGGTGAGAGTAACATCCGTAGCTTTGGAATTTCATTAAATAAATTGAGGAATACCATTATATTACAGAAACTGTATCGTTTCAGTTCGCAATGCCCTTGTAGTGTTTGCTTTATTCTCAATGCTTGGTGGAATGGTTATTTTTGCGACATCCCTGATGCTGATAACTGCTTTGCGAAAGGAATACGAACGGAAGATGTTGCCTTGGTTGTATAGTTTTGCTACTTTTACTCTTTTTAGATTGTTTGCTTTTGTATTCTTTAGTTCGGTAAACGACATGATATTTGCCTATAATATCATGATGTGTTTTTTGTGGACTGTATTCCTTTGTTTTTCCATCTATGGATGGTTAATCGTGTATTCTCTGTACGTGGAATTGAGCGATCTCACAAGATTGGAAGACCTCGCTCATCTGAGGGTAAGTTTTTCGAATGGAATATTTGGAATAGTTGAATAGAATAGGAATTTTCACACAGAGAATCGATGAATTTGAATTTTTAGATCGGTACAATGCAGTCCTTGAACGCGTCTACCACGCAATCTATCGCTGGTTCTCGGCCGACAACTCCTCATAGCGCGGTATCTACAATGCCGGCTAATTAAAAGAAAGATTTCGACGATCGTTCATTATTCGTCTACGAAAGAGAAAGTATTTCTGCGTATTCGGTACGAAAGAGAAAACTCCAGGCCCATCTGAAACATGAAAACTGAAAACTAAAGGTAGTAGTACAGGCCGCTCGCTTTCCCTGTATTTTACCGTTAACGCAGTAAATGTTGAGTACCGCCGCACTGGATGGTTGTTGTCTGATACGAACGTGCCGTACGGACATTATGAAATGCGACAGATAAACACGACCGTACGTTATTTTCGCTGGAATTGTGACACTGCCTTAGCGTTTACTCGAATCCGTCCATTTCTATTGAAATCCGTCCAAAGTAAGTATTTACATGCCTGGGTGAATGCGTTTTACGCGACTCGTAGCTAAAGTAATAAGAAACAACGCGGGTGTGTTTATTGTAAAAAATAAGATACTGTATTCTAGAGAAACTAGAAATAGATATTAATTCTTTTATATACATATAATATAATAATTTTCATAGTTATATTTCTTTACTTCCATCTTGTATCGAATATATCTGCTTATGCGTATACATTTTATTCCGTACACGATTCCCTTTTTATTTCTCGTCAATTCTTAATTTACACGATTCACCGTCCCGGAAATCCTTGAAGTATAAACATGAGATTTTGCTTCACTTGTATCTCCTGCACAATCGAAAAACGATTTGCACGATTTTCGGACTAGGTACGTACTACACTCGTATCTACAGTTTGGTCTAATTATTATTCGTCTGAATTTCAACATCGGATACAGGTAACGCGCGCGATAATATTATTTGAAGAACGAAATTAAACAATGATGGAATTACTTTGATCACGGAAAAATCCGTGTACCTCTGATTAAGATTCGAAGAATCTACAGCGTCGATGAATCGATCTGTAGTGGTTGATTTAATTGTTCGGTGGATATCGAAACCGTGGTAGCTTCTTCTGACGAGTAGGTCACTAAATAGGAAAGAAATCCTACTGCGCTCCCGAGAAGCATTAAAAAGAATATACCGACCGCTATGAGTACGTGCCATACTATGCCGAATGTGGCAGTCAACGTGTACATAGCGATGGCAAGACACATCACTCGTCAAAATTGTTTGTCTTTCTCAATGACATCTACAATAGAAGTATTTTCTATAGAAATAAGAAGTGTTCGACAGGTAATTTTAACCCCAAATTCGAATTGATCTTGATCGGATAACTTCACGAGGTACAATCGGATATGATGTTATCTACGAATTGTACGATAGAATATATCACAAGTGTAAGTGCGTATGCTTGACAGAAATCAATCAAGATTCTTCATCGAGTTTAGGATGTTTTAAAAGTTTCTTTTACATGTATCGATAACAAGCGTAGGAATCGATCGGTTCAGAGGTTACGCGTAACTTTGGCAAAACGCCGATTTTGACTAATCCATTAAGTTATCGAGTAATCGATCCATTAGGTAATTTTCTTTGTCGAACGTTTGATTTTTGCCCGCAAGACAATCGTTGAAATGCGAAACACGACGTATCTTGTGACGTATGTACTCGTTAAAGTTGTTGTTGTACGACATTCCAAGTATCTACGTACTTATGTAAGTAGCCAAAACGGTTGGCGAGGGGCGGGCCGCGTGGGTGAGCGGGCCTGGGAGGGATAATAAAAACAATAGCAATCTAGAGGAAAGAGATGACGCACAAGGAGGAAATGTTGGAAGAATCGATGGTGAAGCGACTCGAGAATCTACCGAATCGAAAAATGCGAGGTTAAAGGAATAAATCGAGACGAATCGTTTTCCGTAAAAAAGAAGTTTCTTTTATTAAAAATACAAGCGTACAATACAAGAAACGTACGCGTGCAAACGCGACTGAAATTGAACGCTGTTTGCGCGGTAAATTGTTAATTGTTCTATGAGCATACTCATGCGTGAAAGCATGAAATGAAATACGAACAGAGAGAGAGAGAGAGAGAGAGAGAGAGAGAGAGAGAGAGAGAGAGGTGAAACAGGA